TTTCTGTGTGCCACACAATTAGTAATTTCGCCTATACAGTCATGAAAAGAAATCTCTCTCTAATTTGTGTGTGCGTATGTATCTTTTCATATTTTTTTAAAAACTTACCTTAGGTTAAAATCTAATCAGGAAAAAAGGGAGTCACAACCTATCTAAAAATAATTTTGAGGGAAAGCCATATTGCAATTCTTAAATTAAAAGCAAAGCACTGCACTGTCTTAAAACAATTACCTTCACACACAAAATTGGGGGCTTTTTTCCTAATTATGGCATCATTTCCAAAATCAAAATTCAATCTTCAGTGATCATTTTTTTGTTGTTTAAGAAATGAAACATATGAAATATAAGAAAAACACTTTTTTTGTTATACTTCACCTGTCTATCCATAAGTATATATATTTTGACTTTGAAAATGACAGAAAAAATGTGTTTAAATAAGGGCTGGAGAGTTGAATGTTTCTATTAAATTTCAGGGCCAGTCCAAGTTCCCTGAGGTAGCTTTTCTAACACCTACAATTTGTAGAGCTTTTCCACTAGAGAATACAGCCTAATACACAGGTTTTCTTACTTTCAAAAGGTTTTGGGCTTAAAATCCATTGCCTTTACATTCAAATTCTATAGTTTACATTTCTTCTTTAAATTGCAAGCTAAGTTTTGCCACTCTATTATATTTCTAAATAAATTACTCTACTCAAAAAATAAAATAAAATAAACCTTCATAAGTACAAAAGAAGGTAAATGGGGGAAAGGTCAACCACAAGTGTGATAACTTCAAAATGTGCCAAGTTACAAAGGGTTAGCTACTGTGACAGCCAAGTTAAACAAGGCACTTCTGGGGCTCTCTTTCTCCCTGGTTCCCACCACTCCTCTCCAGAGGTCCCTGGTATGGGTTTATGAACACCTGAGGGTTCAGATATCCTAATTGTGTCTTGTGTTTAACTTGGCTATTTAAATGACTAAGTGCTCCCCTCTCTCCTTCCCAGCTTTATAACTTGGCTCTTACTGAATATATCACACCTTTATATAGTGGACCACTTTTTCCTTTTTACAGTGCTTTTTGGAGGAAACTTCAAAAAAAATTGTTTGTTATTAGGTAAAATGGCCGAGAAACTTCCATCAGAGAGGCACCACAAGAAAGAGAATAAATAGCCAGCAAGAAAAATAGAAATAGGTCACAATTGACCAATTTGATGCAACTGATTTGCTGCCTCTAAAAATAAGCTGACAGCAGAACTATTTTGAGTCAGGTAATCTACTCAAGTACCATGTCTACTCTCAGGAATTGAGACAAATATCCAAATAATATAAATGGGGCAGAAAGAGTGACTCATTTAATTGTCTGTCCATCCATCCCTCTAAATACTGGCTTTAATTCTCCATTTCATTAAATAGAAGGTGTTATCCTGAAGATTCGTACCACAAGGACAGAGTAAGTTTCTTGACTTTGTATGTGGGCTGATAGAATTTTGATGCTAGGGCTTTGAGAGGCAGGAGGGGTAAAGGAGTTCCATGTTTCAAAATACATTTCCAGCTTTTGCAAATAGAAAAGTGCATCTTTTCGGTGTTTAACAGGTTTAATGCACTTCAGAAGAGGTAAGTAGACCAACCAGGGCCCGCTCCACTGAAGCCAGAAATACGGTACCTACTCTCAGAAGGTGGGTTCTTAGGACAATTACCCTAAAGTTTCCTACAAACAAAAAACCCAGCATACTTTTTCAAGTAAACATAATTATTCCTTCAGAGTACTAAATTAAGACAATTCACACATTAAATTCAACTGTTAATAGCAATGTCCTGGTAGTCTGTATTTTTAAGCATTTGGTTGAAAATAAAAACTCCAAACCTAACTGACATTGTGTCTTAATGTTTTTATCTGCCTTAGGTAAATGACTTTCCTGAGACGTAAGTTTCAAATTATGGTATCAAATTGACAGTCATGTCAGCAATATCTTTTAAATCTTGTTGGCTAAAGTACTAGTATGTATGTAAGAGAGAAGTTGGAAATTGAGTGCAGAACTTCATGTTTTAGTTAGAAGGGCCTATTGCATTTTCAAGGTTTCCAATGCCTCCTTCAAGTTGGTTATAAAGTAATCTACGTGGCTTTGAAATACTGTCTCTCATCTAATAAAATCAGACTTTTCATCTTTTAATTGCAAACCTATTAATCAGTTATTCATAAATGAAGAAACACAACAGGACTGCCTTTCTATACCTGCTGATAGCAAAGTGCTGTTCACTGCATATTACTACTAATATTATACCAGAACACAGGTCGTAATAACACCTCCCTAGCTTTTCTATGATCCAAGTGTGACCTTCTGAATGGTATAATGGACAATCCGCATACTCAGAACACTCCTACAACACATTTTGAAAAATTGGAGATCCTTCCAAGAAGACATAGGGAAATCAAAATACTGAAGAGAAGGCTAGGTATTTAACAAGAGCCACCCAGAATGCCCTTTCTGTTCTTCAAAACCGCTACTAATATCAAAATGATTCGTTTGGTATAGCTCATGTACATATGAATTTTTCAAGGTATATCCTGAAGAAAAACAATCCGCTCTTCAGTGAGGACTGTACTATTTCTATTCCTGTCTTCAGCTTCTCATCCCCCAAAGCCCAGCCAGCCCACCTGAGGCCATTCGCTCTTTTGGGAGTTGTCCAAGTAGCTGATAGGAGAGAACAGCACTGTGTTCCGCGCCCACACAGAATCTGGAAGCTAAATCTTTGTTTTTAATGTAAATAGTTTACTTAGAATTTGGTAGTTGAAACAGATGCTGTGTCTTTGTGGGGAAGGTATTTGGATAATTTTGCAACATGACAATAAAACAAAAGAATAAAATGTCCTCTTTACTCATTCTTCATTTGCCATTTTTTGCTTGTTAACCTAAGAACTGCACAGGTATTTTGCAGTTCGACTTATCAAGCCTGCCCAGCGAATACTGTCAACTGACGGATTCCCTTAACTGCCCATAAAACCCTACGCGCATGAGAAGAAATCCTCTTCAGGAAGCACAGGGAACAAACGCATTCAGTCAACCGAACTTTCGCTGTAAATTCACTCCAAAGGCAGGTGAACCAAATGCTCAGAAGCTGCGAGTGAGCAAAAATGCCAATCGTACAAACTTTAATAAACTTTTTTCTTTTTTTTTTGGAAAAGAAAAAGCCCTCCCAAATTCCTGCACGGGGTTTCAGAAGCTTGTTGGAGCCCTTTCCACCGGACAGGCACCAACCGCTATCCTAATTCAACTCGGAAAGTTCTTCTTTCCAAGTGACTAGGAAGAGGTTTGTCCTGGTACTCTGCTCAGCGTTACTTTCAAGAAAGCTGGGGTCTCGGGCAAGTCTCCCCAGCGCCAGCCTGGTCCACCGTTACCCTGACACCCGCGCACGCCCGTGGCGTTTCTTTTTTCACTGTCGACACTTGGATCTTTCAGGCCCTGGGTCTAGGTTTCCCCCAGAAAAATGGAGGGGCCCATGTGAATGGAAACCACCAGACACACAGTGTGGAGACACATGCCAATGATTCACCTCATTTCCGAACTAAAACTTCTGCGCTTTAGGAAAAAAGCAAGCGTTCCAATCGGCAAGGCCCTCCCCCACCCCGTCCCTTCCCAGGAGAAGAAAGGGCTTTGTGTGTGCGGTGAGAGCTCCGTTCATCGAGTTCATAAATGCACAGCGGCCGGGGGCCGGGAGGCGTGGGGCACCGGGCCCTGCCCACCCCTTTCCCCCAGGCCGGCGGCGAGTCCGGAGGCTGGTGCGGGAACCGAGGCCACTGGGCGCCGCGGCCCGGCAGCTGGGAGGAAGAGGATGCTGCGCCGCCGGGGACCAGAG